TACACTGAAATACGAACGAAACATCAAGTGAAAGGGAATAAGTAGCAATCGTGTGGATGTCTCAACCATTGCAATGCGAGAAACAACCTGCAGATGTTTTACTACGACACTAAATTCATTTTGCTCAGGATTTTAAAAATCTGCTTTAACATTCTCAAACAATCAAAATGGTAAAGTTATTTAGTGTACAGTGGGTAGATCATGTCACTAAGTAAAACTTCCGAAAGAAGATGTTATACATAGATCATTGAATCATTTTACATATATATAGTCCTTGACTCCTTGTGAGACAAAGAAAACGAACCTTGCTAACAGACAAAACTTTTACAATCTGAAGGGCCAATGTTAAGCACAAGTTCAGTAATAAATATAAACAAATGATGCAGAGCGTTGCAACAATTAACAATTGTAACAGAGATTTACAATTTATTGTTACAAGATGTTAGGCCATGATTCGTATGTTAAAAAAAATTGGAAAGAAGTATAATTTAGTAGAGTGATATATATGTTTTCTAGGGAAAACTGAAACTAACCATAAACCCATGGATTGAAGCGGACTCATCGCAGCTCTTTGAAATCCAGCCATGAACCGAGCGGCAATGAATGTACGAGGCATTGAGATGGAGTTCACTTACTTAGAAAAATACGATTAAACCATTAAAAACTTGTGCGAAACACGAAAGGAATAGTAAAAGAAGAAAAAGACATCCACAAACAGAGGAGATCTCAACGGCGAATATAGCGGTTTTTTGGCTTTCACTTCATTTTGAAGATTATGCCTTGAGGTTTATTCAAACTGAATGGCAAAGGATCGTGTCAGGAACCGCATTTCGGAAAAAATCAAAGCAAAAACATTAGCAAGCATTCTTAAGGTATATTATCGGGAATTTGGCGACGGACACTGACATGTATATAGAGGTGTTTTTTAGAAAGAAAAGTTATGCTTGGAAATCCCTCTTCAGATTTTATTTATTGAAACTTATAACCAGGAACCAACATAAAATTGCTAAAGAGATTCATGTAACTGATCATCACAAAAAGTTCTCTAAAAACTTTTCTGTGACAAAGACTCCTCCAGCACCTTGACACTAACTCTTTTGAGCAACCATTTGAATTAACATCATGAAGAATCAAATTCCTAATAGTGTATATACGCATACAAAAGCAAACAACCAGTAGCTTCACGTGCACATAGTTACAGAAACCTGATTTTTGAGTTCAAGACTCGAGATTTTTAAAAGAACATATATAATGCACTATATGTGATGCCTTTGTAGAGATATCCCGACATAAAGGTATTTGTAGAAAACATGACAATGAGATTAGTATATTCAATGACCGAAACACAGCTAAAGTTTAAAAAATAGAATAGAGCTTCTTAAATCCGAAACAAATCATACCTCTCTAGGATTAATAAGGTTATGCAGACCATGTTTCAGAACACTTTGATAAGCTCTCATTAAATGGCTGCAACATAAAACAATGAAAAGTATTGTTAGAACTTGGACGAATATCACATTGCAGTCCGATTAACAGTTTGATGGGCTCTCACCTAAATTCAAGTTTCTTCCATTTCACATTCTTTAGTGAACGATTTTCCATGTAGAGAATCCATAAGCCTGTTATAATTCACATAATCCAATCAACTTTCCATGCACTATAGATAAGAAGGAAAGTAGAGTTCAGAGATTTGGAGCAGCACTTTGAAGCACGAAGCTTAAAATTGCCTTAAACTCTTAGATCCATATATTGAAAACAAAAAAATAATAAGCACAACAAGTATATCAATCATAACCAGCAAGTGGATTGCAATAAAGTATAATGGTTTAAGAATGGATTATCTTCTTCTTGAGCCCCAAACAAATCCAAATTAATTGTGTTACGAAGAAGTAGAAACCCAAATGCAAGGGAAAAAATACCTCACGAAGCTGATATGAACACCGAGATTTTGATGGGCAGATGAACAATCAATGCAGAGAAAAATCGATGCGATGTCGGATTCTGCGCACTAAAATCAAAGCACACCTAAAAATTCCAACAACAAAACCAGTATACAAGAACGTTATCCCAATAGAAGATCTAAACAACCAACTCGAAGATCTAGACACACACACACACCCAAATAGACGATTCTCAAGTAACAAAAAAAATCCGAGAAAATAAATTTGAAAAGAAAGGGGAGAATTCAGCATATCGATAGAGAAATCGAACCTTTTTCTTACATATATACTTTGAGACTTCTGAAAACTGTACCTTCACCGGTCAACATCTCGAAATCCATCGTAGATAATATTTAGGAGCAAACAAAGATCACGTGGAATGATAGTCTTCTACGGATGAAACGATGGAAAAGTCTTTAATACGTTTCACGTTTTCAGAAGCTGAAAAGGCAATTTTCTTTAACGTGTTTAAACAAAAAAAAAGGACAGGTGTGAGAAATATGGAGTGCCACTGTCACATTCCGGAGAGGGCTGGCCATGTTTTATATTATAGACTAGATTTTATACCTATCCTACACGTGAGTTTATTTTATCAATTGGTTTAAAATAATTTTTGATTTGTTTATTT